CAAGGTTGAGAAACACTGCTCTACACGCTATCAAGGAGAAGAGCGGTCAAGCAGGAGACAACCACTAGGGGCGGTAGCGCGCAGCCTTGGCCCGAGGGCAAGGAAGCGGAAGGGAAAGGGCGGAACCAAAGCCAGAGTGGACCTTCCGGAAGCGCCGCCCACTTCCTGTTGTTTCCCCGAGAGCGGCTACTTTGCAAGCCGGAAAGGAGTCGCCTGGCTGCCCCAGGATCCCGGACTCGTCCTCCCTGTCTCCCTGCGGGCATTCCTGAGCAGCCGACAGAAGGGAAAGGCAGCGGCCTGGACTTCCGCCGGCCTTCTGGTGGCTTCCGGTACGGTTGTGTGTGTGTTGGGGGGGGACTCTCCTGACTTCCGGGGTCCCTGGGGTGGAGAGAAGGAGGCCGCGCGGAAAGGGGCGAGGGGTCTCCGCGGGCAGCCTCAGAGGCCGCCCCGCCTTTCCCTTGGAGCCTTGAAGGGGCCTCTTGACAGGCTTGAGGGCTGCGCTGGGTGATATAGGGCAGGGGGTCCCCAAGCTTGACCACTTTATGACTTGTGGACTTCAACTCCCAGAATTCCTCAGCCAGCCAAGCTGGCTGAGGAATTCTGGGAGTTGAAGTCCACAAGTCATAAAGTGGCCAAGCTTGGGGACCCCCTGATACAGGGGACCGGTCTGATTCAGTTGAGGTGGGACCCTTTTCCCACTCAGAGCTTTGGGGAAAATGATTACGTCTCCTGGTCCTTCTTTCCTTCTCCACGGCAACCTCCCACCGAGCGTAGGTAGTCCTCGACTTAACGACAGTTCGTTCAGTGACCGTTCAAAGGTAGAACAGCACGAATGGGACTTAGGACCCTTTTTTCACGGTTGGGACCTTTGCAGCCTTTCCCCATGGTCACGTGATCAGAATTGGGACGCTCGGCAACTTGACTCACAGTTATGACGGTGGTAGTGTCCCGGAAGTCGTGGGATCCCCGTTTTGTGACCTTCCGACAAAGTCCATGGGGAAGTCAGATTCACTTAACAACCCGGTTACAAACATATCAGCTGCGGTGATTCACTTAACAGTGGTGGCAAGAAAGGCTGTAAAATGGAGCACAGCTCACTTAACAACCAGGTGATAGGTAGTCCTCAACTTACGGCGACAATTGAGCCCAAAGTTTATGTTGCTAAGCGAGACATTTGTGTTTTTTGCCCCGTTTTATGATCTTGCTTGCCACAGTTGCTAAGTGAATCATTGCAGTTGTTGTTAACATGTTTCTTAAGTGAATCTGGCTTCCTCATTGACTTTGCTTGTTGGAAGGATCATGTGATCCCGGGACGCTGCAACCGTCATGAGTCAGTTGAATTTTGATCAGTTGAATTTTGATGCTGCAACGGTCGTTAAGTGTGAAAAATGGTCATAAGTGACTTTTTCCAGTGATGCTGTAACTTTGAACGGTCAATAAATGAACGGTTGTAAGTCGAGGACTCTGAACTAACAACTGCAGCACTTCACAACTAGGGCAAGAAAAATCATAAAATGGGGGCAAAACACACATAAATTTGGGGCTCAATTCCGGTCGTAAAGTCGAGGACTACCTGTGTGTGGGTTGAGTTCAGTCCCCCCCCTTGCCAAGGCTGAAGTCACCCATCCTCGTGCCTACCTTGACTTTAGGGGGCAAATAATGCCCTGAAAAGCTGCAGGCTAGGCAATAATTCCACAAGTGGTCCTTTTGTGTTTGCGTTACCCTGTCAGGGTCCTGTTTGGCAAGGATGCTGCGATGGTACCTCTTCCATTTTTAAACAGGTACACAGGATGAAAGCGTAGTGGGAATAAAATGGGTACGTGTGATTTGTTGTTGTTAGTTGCGAAGTCGTGTCCGACCCATCGCGACCCCATGGACAACGTTCCTCCAGGCCTTCCTGTCCTCTGCCATCTTCTGGAGTCCATTGAAGCTCAGGCCTCCTGCTTCAGGGACTCCGTCCAGCCACATCATTCTCTGTCGTCCCCTTCTTCTATTGCCCTCAATCTTTCCCAGCATCAGGCTCTTCTCCAGTGAGTCCTTCCTTCTCATTAGGTGGCCAAAGGACTTGAGTTTCAACTTCAGGATCTGGCCTTCTAAAGAGCAGTTGGGGTTGATCTCCTCTAGGACTGACCGGTTTGATCGTCTTGCAGTCCAGGGGACTCGCAGGGGTCTTCTCCAGCACCATAGTTCAAAGGCCTCAATTCTTTGGCGCTCAGCCTTTCTTATGGTCCACCTTCCACAGCCATACATTGCAACTGGGAAAACCATGGCCTTGACTATACGCACTTTTGTTGGCAGGGTGATGTCTCTGCTTTTTAGTATGCTGTCTAGATTTGCCATAGCATATGTGATAGGACCGGGTTTTGAAAGGATACAGTTATGACTTAGTTCAGGGGTCTTCAAACTTAGCCCTTTTATGACTTGTGGACTTCAACTCCCAGAATTCCTCAGCCAGCCATGCTGGCTGAGGAATTCTGGGAGTTGAAGTCCACAAGCCATAAAAGGGCCATGTTTGAAGACCCCTGACTTAATTGCTCTGGGTTAAATTGTATCATGTCTTTTCTTTTTACATTTTGGGAAAGAAAAGTAGCTTCCTTTAAGCTTCCTTTTTTATTTGTGAGGATATTTTAACCTTTTCTTTCTTTGGACATGCGACAGGAGGGTAAAAATATAATTATTTTTTTCCGATTGAATAAATGGAATAAAATCAAAGACTTAATTTTTTTATTTAAAATATTTAAAATTTCATAACGTAACAGCTAAGTATTCCGATCAAAAATGTCAGCTTCCTTCCGTAGTTGTACTTGTAAATGTAACTGTACTTATAAACTCCCTCAGATATCTTAACTGCAATATGATATATTGAAAAGACGAAGGATGAGAAAGCGATGAGTCAGCCAAGACCTGCTGGGACAGATCGGGAGCCAGAAGGAACGGGAAAAACCTCCCGTACGGTTCATCGCCAGCGTAAGGAGGAGCACCTGGGATGGGGAGCGTCACAAGAGAGCCGAAGGAGATGCAGGAGCGCTGGGAAGGCCAGCTCCAGCAGTTCCTGAAATCTCTGCAGCCCATTTTAACGGGACGGGGAAGCTCTGGGACGTCCGAGGCTTCTCCTTGGGAGGACACCAAGGAATTCCTGGCCTCCTTTGAGCAAGTGGCCAAAGCTTGCCGATGGCCTCGGGACCAGTGGGCGGCCCATCTCCTGCCAGCCCTGAGCGGAGAAGCGGAAGAGGCCTTCCGAGGTCTGGAAGCCAGAGACCAGGAAAACTATGAGAAAGTGAAGGCCGCCATCTTGCGAGGGGAAGCCCTGAGAACAGAGAAGCAGCGACAGCACTTTCGACAGTTCTGCTGCCAGGAAGTGGGAGACCCCCGGAGGATCCACAGCCAGCTCCAGGAGCTTTGCCGCCAGTGGTTGAGGCCGGAGAGACGCAGCAAGGAGCAGATCCTGGAGCTGCTGATCCTGGAGCAGTTCCTGGCCAGCCTCCCACCGGAGCTGCGGAGCTGGATCCAAGCCAGGAGGCCGGAATCGTGTCCCCAGGCAGTGGCCCTGGTGGAGGACTTCTTGATGAGTCAACAGGAGGCCAAAAGCAGGACACCTCAGGTGGGTTTTACTATCCAGATCCTCACGTTTCTAACAGGTTGCACAGTGCTGGTATTAAATCACCCTCAGTTATTAATTGAAACTCAAGAGCGCCGAATAATTTTAAGAGGTTATTTTTAAGATCGTTGTCAATAAGAACCCGTCTGCAATGGCTATCTTTGTATGATCATCAGTTGGTCAACAATTAGTTATAGCTTGCTCAGTTCCACCATATTTTGAATAATGTTATGTGTAAACAATTCATTTCAATGTTATTTACCATCACTTGTTCGATTTTGCTAATTTGTGAGGGGGAAAAAGTACGATGATTTTATCCCCAAGCAACCTACAATGACGTCGATTGCACATATCCTAGTTGCTACAGTCATACAACAAATATAAATTTTAATATACTCCCTTTTGCAGCTTTTTGTGTGTGTCCAAGGCATCGAAGTTTAAATGTTCCCAGGGTTTTGCAATGCACTTCAAGGTTGCATTTTTGAATATTGAACAGAGATTGTGGGGACAAACTATTAGGGGTAGCTTTCCTACTTTATATAACCACAGTTTGTGAACAAGCCAACATTAATTATGTGTCATCCTGAGGCCTTGACCAGGGGTCTTCAAACGTGGCCCTTTTATGACTTGTGGACTTCAACTCCCAGAATTCCTCAGCCAGGCACGCGTGCCTGGCTGAGGAATTCTGGGAGTTGAAGTCCACAAGTCATAAAAGGGCCACGTTTGAAGACCCCTGGCCTTGACTTTTGAACTACGGAGGCTGAATTCTTACAGCCCAGGTAATCCTCGATTTACAGCCAGTTGGGACCGGAACATCTGTTGCTAAGCAGTGCAGTCGTTATGTGACTTACACAATTTCATGACCATCGATGCTACAACCATCAAGTGACTTGTGGTCGTTAAGCGAATCTGGCTTCCCCATTTGATTTTCCTTGCTAGAAACCCCCTGGGAAAGTTGCAACTGGTGATCACATGACCCTGGGACCCTGCAACCTTCTGAAATACAGAATAGAATAGAATAGAATAGAATAGAATAGAATATAGAATAGAGAAGGATAGAGAATAGAATGAGTAGAATAGAGAATAGAATAGAAAATAGAGTAGAGTAGAGTAGAATAGAATAGAAAATAGAATAGAAAATAGATTAGAATAGAATAGAATAGAGAAGGATAGAGAATAGAATGAGTAGAATAGAGAATAGAATAGAAAATAGAGTAGAGT